CGTTCCCGTTCTTCGAGAAGCACGATGTAAACGGTGCGACGGCGCGTCCGGTGTTCACGTACTTGAAGACGAAGCTGCCTGGTTCGTTCGGTGACTTTGTGAAGTGGAACTTCACGAAGTTCCTGGTGGACCGCAACGGCCAGCCGTACAAGCGTTTTGCTCCGAAGGACCGTCCGCTGTCGTTCGAGGAGGACATTAAGACGCTGTTGGCGCAGAAGCCGACGGAGGAGTGAAAGATTTGCTGGCAGCATGGTGCTAAGTCTCACCTTTAGCCAACTACAATATGAACACGTTGATTACTGACTATGAAATTTGCTTGCTGTGTCTGTTGCACTTTTTGGATCAATTCACAAATTACAAACTATAGAGGGAAGCTCAAAGAACAATACAATGGATATTCCTCATTTATTTATTATTGTTCTTCTTCCTATTCATTTATTTCTTATTGTTGTGAATAGCAGCCAATACAATTATTTATTATTTATTGTAATGTCCACACCAACCAGAGCTAACTGCTGTATCGATTTTTTTTAGCACTATTTTATCGTCAGTGACATCAACATCTAGTCCCATCAGCGTACTTGAATCCCAGAACTTATGGTTAGCACGCAGAAATATAAGCATCTCGAAATTCATCGATAGCAACGATGCACGCTGAGGCATCATGACCAGCTTGTACTGCGAGAACAGCCTCTCACAGCGGTTGCTGGTCGGAGGGATGGCGGTGGTGATTGGGTCCTACCACACCGTCACCTGCTCGGGAGCTGGGGGCTCTCCCTGGATATAGCCCCACATCTAGATCCAAAATATAGGTCAACCTATATTCATAATATGCCACATCGCACTTAGTAATAGTACTTGACGATGCCGCGGACAATAACTCTCAGGACTTCCGTCACAGTAGCTTGCGGGGGCGCAAACCATGTACGCCACAAATACTCATCGAGGTACATGGGCAGGAGAGATTTCTTCATTCCGCGCATCGCCTTGAGGTGACGCTTGATACGGATCTCCCAAGCACCCTCCACCCCGTTCGTGTGAGCGCCTGAGACGGGGTCAACGTAGGTTTCACTGTGGTTAGCCCACTAGCGCTTGTAGTCCATGCCTCGCAGGTGTCGGTTGTTAGCAAGCGTGTGCTTGCCATTCACCGACACGTACGAGGTGAACTGGTCACTCATGACCAACGTGCTGCAAACATTTACAAACAAATATTTTAGATTCAGTATAGATGAAGAAATGGATGCACCCTCACCCTGGTTTGATGTGCTTCTTCATGATGGCCGACAGTGTCGGTTTCGTGCGGTCTTCGTACGTGACAATGCCAAACCACCGATTGGTGGTGTGATCGACTCCGCCAAACAGCCAGTAGTCAGGGAAGTGCTTGCCTCTGTTGTATTTAGACTTCTTTTTGAGAGAGGTTTCGTCTATTTCAACGATATGTCCCTCCTCACCTATTTGCACAGGAATCGAAAGCATCTCTTTAGAGCAGACGTCCCTGCAGTAGGTGTACCACTGCATGGCTGCCTGCTCATTGACACCGACAATCTCGGCGGCTTTGGTGACCGCCGCCCGAGCTGCCCAGTGGCAGATCAGGCGGACCAGTTTTCGCAGGGGCAACTTGCTCTTGGCAAAGAAGGAGCTCGTGCGCACGCTTCGTTCTGTGCGGCACAATGATCGCGAGCACCGCCGACGCTCGTTATTCACGTCCAATCTCATGTCCTTGGCACACTTCGGGCACAACAAGGACGTGGGTAGCAAGTGGACCGACATGCACCACGCCAAGGCGTCGGACGCGGACGACGTGGCGTCCATGAGGCCATCGAAGGTGGTGTCTTTCAAGCCCCTCGCCGCTTGCACGTCCACCGACCGCGGCATCATAGGGCATGGTGATGCCGCTACCTTGGTCTTGGCAATGCTGGAGGGTCTGGTGCTGGAGGCCATGATAGTGTTTGCTGGGAGGGGGGATCTTGAGTTTGGTATTGGTCTTGTGGCTTGCAACTTTGCAAAGTGTATGAATGTCCAATTTCCCGCGCTTTGTGTTTGTGGGGCTATATATTTCTGACTTAGATTCACTATACAGCTGCCGCGATCTCAAAGTTGAAGAGGGGGCAAATGTGGGGATGTAACCAGATGTGTGAA